TAATGGTGGCAAATATCAGGATAAAGAATCTTCTTTATATTACGATATTATTGTTTGTTTTCTTAGATGTTTAAAAATCTCTAACCTTTCCATTTAGAGAAACCAAATAAAATTTATTCCGTTTTTTTGACAAAGACTAAGTTCTAGTTCATGTATTATTTTGTATTATCACTATCACTATCACTATTATCAGTATCCTGATTCCTTTATTAATGCTAACAATATGTGAAATTCAATACATTTGTCAAGTAAGTGGTGTAATGGTCATCTTGATATAGTAGTGGATATTCGTAGCTACGACAATGGTGTAAGGGATCAGCTTGAGGATTATTGAGGATGCCCTCAAAAATTTCCATATTGAGATTGATTTCTATTCAGGCAATAAGGTTGAACAAAAATAAACAAAATGTATTATTTTTTTAAAAAAATGGAAGATATCAAAGTACCAACACTTTCAGTTGAGTTCTCCCGAAAAACAAAGTTAATAACAAACAATTTTGAATGCAGATTGAAAATTTCAATTTCAATCTCAATCTAAAGGCATCATCAATTGGTATAGATAGGAGGGATACAATAAAAAAATTTTTTTTTTTTGAAATCGTAACTTTGTAGAGAAAATGCCTTCCATTTTTCGGATGATTCAAGGATCTACAAGATGTTTGACTTGTATTGTAGAATGCAACCAAATTCCAGATGAAGTTACTTCTGGTATCAAATTTTTTGCCAATATTCATATATGTATTACCTTTTGGTGCATTCTGGATATTGACATTTCAAAATCTTTTATTCCAAAATGAACTTTTTTGTATGAATATTTTAAACTATTTCTTTGACAAAATTCTTTAGTATATCCTGGATACTTGCATTTTAAATTCTTTTCGTCGTGCTATTATTACTATATTATTGATTAAGCGATCATCTTGCTCTAAAAGTCTTATCACAACTTGGGAACTTTGCAAACTAATCTCATTATTACTTTACTATCACCATTTTTTAACATTTTTAACGTAATACAAGATTTAAAATCACACGACTATTTGTTTTTTTAAAAAAATGTCTTCTTCCTCACAATCATCAATAATTCATCAACAAACATCATTATTGAATGAAATTACATTTCATCAAACATCAAAGTTTGTTAGCATTATCTACAATATTCTAGTACGAGATAAGGAAGATTATTTGGATGTAGAATTTCAAAACGAATTGGTAATTAATTCTTTTCATGTTTCTTCAATCTTTAAAAAAATTTTGTTTTTTATATCAATAAATACTATGCTTGTGATGATAGACAGTGATAAAATTTAAACCTTCTGCATCAAACAAATTTACATTAAAAATTCACCATCCATCAACAAGTTCATTGTCAAATTCATTCACTATTTCTGACAAAAATCTTGTAATAATACTTGAAAAAAAAGATAAAGAATTAGAATGGCAATCTTTGATTTTCAAATATAAAGATGAAGATGAAGACGATGTTCAATTATCAATAAAAGAGAACAAAGAAGTAATGGTAGAAAGATGGTTTTTAACAAGAAATAATGTTCAAAGGTGTTCACAAATTTTAGAAAATGAATCAAAATGGGTGAGACAATTAATTGATAAATTATTTTAATTATTGGTTATTTTATTTATGTATTAATTGTTTGTTTTGCTTTTGTTTTTTAGAATAAATTTTCAATTATGCCAAAGATTACTTCTTTACAAGCTAAACATGATAAAAATGTGATAACTGTTAATCTGAAAACAAATCATTCTATATCAAAAAATACGGAATAAATATTATGATAAAGTAAGGGATTATAAATGCTAATCCTAATCCTAACGTTAAGACTATTGCTGATATTACACGAATAAAATAATAAAAATCCTGTAAATAATAATATTTGTTTTTTTCGTGATTGTAATGGGTTGATTTGTTTGATGTATTTTTTACAAAGGTGTAATCATCTATCAAAAAAATCTAGAC